AAGCTGTCAATACTACTAGATTATGGGATTACTAGTAAATATTCTGCATTACCTTTTTATGCTTCTTGATGTAAAACAATCCACAAAAAGTATGTATTTTAAAAATAACCAGAATAAGCAGATTTTTAAAAGGAAGGAGGAATGGACAGAGGCAGTCAGAGAAAGGAAAATCCACTCCAGGTAGGGTGACTACAAGAATAAGACACAATATGTTTAAGGACAGGGAGACCATCCAATAACACTATGATCTATCCATTAAAGCAGAGCTCTGAAGTACCAATAGTTGATGCTAAAAAGAAAGATAAATCCCCATCCTGGTCAAGGATGAGTTGTCTTTATGTTCCTGCAGAGCGCTTCAGACTTGTATATCTGTGATGAGGAGTACCTAGAAATTTTTAAAATGGTCACATTTTCATTTTTAACACCTACTTCTAGTTACCAGGTGGAAGATTAAGGGGTGAAGACCTGAGGCAGCAAGATCAAATGAACAGCTTCAGTAGGATCCCAGGTAGGAAAGATAAAGTCCTTAGTTAGAAGAATGATAAAAATAAAAGAGGCACAAACTCCTTGCTTGCAGTTAGGATAGGGAAGATGTGGTGGAGCCACTAACCAAGACTGAACACCTGACGGGTGGATGATGGGGAAAGCGTCCAGGATGAAAGTGACACATCCAGGTTTAGACTTCTTGAAGTCTAATATCAGTCTGGATATGCCTTGGAAGCATCCACACAGATGGACCCTAACGCTACTAAATTAACCTGCAACTCAGAATCCACTTTTCCATTGGAAATATAAAATTTAGGTTTCCAGATAAGGTAGCAGCAGAACAGACCCCAAGTTTTCCACATCTTCATCTCCAGAACCTACAAATGTTAGCTAATCTGGCAGAAATGACTGACGGAACGCTATTAAATTAAAGACCATGGAGAGGACATTATCCTGGGTTATCTAGATGGGGCCAGCAAGCACAATAAAGGCTTGTATATAAGAGATATAGAAAGATTCAACAGCAGAAGGCCACACGACAAAAGAAACAAAAGGCTGACATATTTGAGGAAGGAGCCACAGCCCAAGGAATGTAGGTGGCCCCTAGAAAATGAAAAAGGCAACAGGATAGATTCTTTCCCCTGGGCCTGTCAGAAAGAATCAGCTCTGTAACCATATTGTTAATCCACTAAAAATGACTTTGGACTCCTAACCTCTGGAAGTTTAAAGTAATACAGTTGTGGTGTTTTGGTCTATTTTTGAAACAGGGTCTTGATATATACATATATCTATATAGTTCAGTTTGGCCTTGAACTCACTGTGTAGGCCAGGCTGACCCTGAACTCATGGCAATCCTCCTTCCTCAGCCTCCTGAGGGCTGGGATTATAGACATGTGCCACCAAGCCCAGCCAATATATTCATATTTTCTTGAGAGTTAGTGTGTGTCGGTGATTTCTTGTGGCAGCAAACTAACACCAGATTATACTAATCCTATTGAAAATAGAGGCTAAACTCCAATTTCACACAACAAAAACTAAAGACTTTTACCACTAAACATATATAAAAGAAAGTTCAAAGTCCTGGAAAAGGGAACCAGTATGGGTAAAGAGCAATAGGAAGAGTTTGGAGACCCTAAAAAGCGGGCCCAATCCATGACTGAAAGGAAGTGAGCCCAGCACACTGGTCCTCTGCCCCCCAGAAAGGGGCTCCTTCTCCCCTCTGCATCTGCCCACCAGGTCCCAATAGGAATCCCACAACTAACATCAAGGAGAAACAAACCAAACCTCTACTTTCTCTAAAGGAAATGACTGATGGTCCCTTATACTGGCTAAAATGGGTACTCTTAACCTTTTAAAATTCTATTTAATTTAAATCTTTGAATACCTCACGCTGGACCCTATTCACTGGAAGCACACACATACATATGTACAAGATCTTTCACGATTCTGAAGTCCTTGGGTTTAAAACCCTTCTTTTCCTATAAAAGAGATTGCAAACATTAACTATTTTCCCATAAAAAATGTTCTAGAAACTATATAACAACAGTCACATTTATTGTCAATTGCCAGGTATTGAAATTTGTATTTTGAAGGAGTAAAATTAAAAATGACTTCTGGAAGTATCTAGCTAAGTAACAAATATGTCCTGATATCTGATAAGGGGAAAAAGTCAACCTTCAGACAAAGAGCACATTTTCTGTCAGCAATGACAATTGGAATTTTGCTTGCGTACCTGGAATTTCTAATACATAAAATTTATTTAGTCATTTTTCAAATATTTAGGAGAAATATCTTTTTTTTAAATTTGTGGACAAAAATACTCTGAATTAATCATTTCACAAGAGTCCTATTCCAGGACAAGATTCAAATTTGAAATCAGACACAGGAGGATTGCAAGTTCTAGTCCAGCCTAGGGAACTCAGCAAGACCCTGGCTCAAAATAAAAAGTGAGCTAGGGTATGGCCAGGTGTGCAGGCAGTAGCTTCAGTGCCAGAGTCACCAAAACAAACAAACAAAATAACAAAAACAAAATAAGATAAACAAGTACATTACACGTGTGATCAGATACAAATATAAAGCTGCCTTTCACACAACAGTAATATGACAGTTTCTAAAACTGCTCATCAACTAAGTAATTTCTACAAATACTCTCCACAAATCCAAGAATTCCATAAAACATTACTAACAGAATATATTAATTAGGAGCTAGGGATTTAGCTCAGTGGCACAGTGCCTGCCTGGCAAGCACAAGGTCATGAGTTCGATTCCCGGTACTGGGAAAAAAAAAAAAAAAAAAGAAGAATATATTAATTAAAAATGAATAGTACAACATTATTAAGGACTCCACAAAGTGGTATGTTAAAAATAAGTTGGATAAGGAATTATTTTATTACTATTACTAATAGACAAAGCTATGAATCAAATACACAATTGTATGAAAGTAATGTTGTTTTCAATGCTGAATAACTCTGACTTAGCTGGTAGCAGTTTTTCAGATGTTCTGGTAACAATCTCGATAAAACCAACAGCAGCTAGCAATTTGTGAACATTTAATACAGTGCTGGCCACAAACTATGAGCTTGAATTACTTGAATTAGGTTGTTTCAGCTTAACAACCACCCTATGAAGTCCTAAAATCATGCCCATTTTACAGATGTATACTGGATGGTTCTGTATCCTGCTCAGGGTTGTGTGATCATTCAAGTAGTAGATCTAAGAGTGAAACTCTGCAAGGCTCTGAGGCAACTTGGAGGTCAGGGAGGGGGTCACTGTCCTTCTGCAGTGCGTAAGGCTATCCAGGGGCACAGACACACCCTTGCAGCACTGAGAATCTCATACTCTCCCAACATGGCCACATCAAACCTCTCTCTACACATCCCAGCACAGAGCCTTCACTCACTAAGATGCTCCCCTCCTGCAGAAGCAAAACTGGGATGAAGGGGTTTCTCCGAAGTGGTAACATTAAGATTACTGCTGTGCTCCTACAGCCTGGAACATCTCGACAAGCGCTTCTCTCAGTAAATTCTTACTATTTGTGAAAGTGGTTAAGAGGGAATTTGCCATAGAATAGTTGCTCAATGTTCAATCTTGGTGATATTCTGGAAGACAGGTCCCGTACCCTACGTACTAGGGTATTCTTCAGAGCTGAGTTTTCTATGCAAAACTTCCTTCTCTGGTACTTACCTAAATGAACGTTTTAAAAATGCTTCATGTAAGACAACCAAAAGTTAACTGGACATGACCATGGAGATCACCTATTTTTCTCTATTTTTCACCCTCTATCTCTCCCAAGGCAGATAGCAAATGAAACCGAAATTCCAAAAATAGGAAATGATGGGACTAGAATCGGACCCCTAATTCTCAGGGCAGGGTTCCCTTCATAATGCTGTGCATTAGACAGTGAGGTCTGCCCAAAGCTCAACAGCACAGAAATAGAAGTTAGCACTATAAATATCATTAAATTTATGACAACAAATGCAATCCAATACTGTAAATTACAGTGTTAATCCTCTAAAGTACAGCTATAAATCTCAGGGTTTCTCCACAAGGGAAAAAGCATTTCTAAAACCATAAAATGTAACCAGTGTAGAAGCAACATGTAATCTTACAACTTCTACAAACGAGAATGGACTGAAAAATCTTGTACCTCTATCCAGTATCTAACAGGAAAGAGTACGGCAATTAAAAAGATAAATATTTCTAAGGATTCTAAAACTTTCAATAGCAAAGCAATAAAAAGACACAGAAAAATTGTACATCATTTGCCTGACCCCAGGAGCCTTGTTGCCAATTAAGCTGCTTTTACTCTGCGTTTTCCCTAAAACAAAAATACCATCTGTTTTCCCTAAAACATTAAGATGTTCTATTTGCTTGTCAATTCAGAAATCACATCTGTAGCCATTTTCTGAAAAGACAGTGAAAGACATTATATTTATGGGTGACTGCATAAGGAATGATGTTCAATCAAAATGTAATTTTCATCTACAGGAAGAAAATTTCATTTCTCCAATGAATAAAGTGCTGTAACTTTGGAAGAACATATAGAATATAAACAGAATGATTTTCACCAATAAAAAAGACCTTAAAAGTTAATACAGTAAAATAAGGTTGTTTCGTTGTTAAAGACAGAAACACCAAATACATTCATATTCAATTTGTGTATCTGTGTTGACAAATGAAATCTATCTTGTGCAAGATTTCCAGGTGAATAGAGGGGAAAACAACTTTTTATTGGTACTATGTCTCCTCATTTTAGTGAGCTGTCCTATAAGTAGTAAAAATATGAAAACAACAAAATATCAACCACTTCCTATTTTCAAAAGACTTTTAGAAACAATATTGGTCCTAGGAAAGATTCCCTATTATACAATTCAGTGAAGCAACTGAAGAAGAAACAAAACACCAGTGAGAACATCACTCACAGTGAACACAAACACAAAGTCACAAGGGAAGAAAAACACACAAACCAACCAACTACCTACATTACTTTGAATATATTAAGTACCTACAATAAATCTGAAACCCAGGTATATCTTCCTTTGAAAGGTAGCCCAATTCCACATGTAATTTTCTTGCCTAAAAAAAATAAAATTGAATACAGCTACTCTCCACATGAGGGAAAAAAAAAAAAGTCCAAAGGCTCTATTTAAGATTTTTCTTTTACCACAAAGTTGTGAAGTGCTCTGCAGTCCAAGATGGGCTTGAAGCCCTCCCTGACTTTTTCAGGATCAGGATACCTTCACTAAAATCCTTTTCCTTGTTCCTCTTGTAGGGCTCGCTTTATTAATCTGCATTTAGAAGGAAAAAAAATCTGGTTCAGAAGACGGGAAGACTTTGAAATACGCCACATCACTTTAGTCTACGGTCTGAACTGCTTTCCATTCATTAGTTCTGTGTCAGCTATTTCAGAAGACATGACGGACACTAGAAGAGGTAGTCCCAAGGAAGGTGGAAATTGGATAGAGAAATTAATTTTCAATAAACTAGAAAAAATAAGGGATCTCTCTCAGATAGATCATCATCAATAATCCCATCCACTCCAATTAAAAGTATTTAAAATCACTCAGACTCCAGATAGTTAATTTCTTTAAACACTTTCACAGTATATTATATAACTTCAGCTAATGAACGGAAAAAACCTGGTACTACACAAAAATAGAAGAGTTCAAAATTTACAATCAGACAGACACATTAAAATTAAGTATCCTTTGACACAGTCTCAGCTCTTTCTCAAAGGTTTGCTTAGTTTCTAAGATGTTATTTCTAAATATCTTAACTACAAATTGTTAGAATCCTTCCTGCATTATAGGTGGTAATGGTAGTTCATATTATAAGGTGTCAGACTAGTTCATCATAATCAGAAAGAGAGAGAGAGAGAGAGAGAGAGAGAGAGAGAGAGAGGGAGGAAGGGAAAGGGAGAGGGAGAGAGATTGAGATTGAAATTGATTGATTATGGTCACTATTAGAATAATTACAAGATGTTCCAAGCCTGAAGTAAAAATCTCTTTAATATCATCATACAAACTACACAACTAAGCCACATTGTATCAAAAATTACTGCACTGTGAAATAATCTGACAATAAACTAGAACCACATAGCTGGTTAAGAAAGTTTGATTTAAAGTATAACAATAAAAAGACAATTAAAACATATACTAACCAGGCAATTTAGCAGGTGTTCTCTGAACACTTAACTACTTCGCCATTGCTTTTGAAGAAATAAAACTTAAAACCATCATCTTAAATGCAATCTGTTTAATCACTCCCACAAATAAAATCTGAAATAATTTTGTACCCAAGGAACAAAATCACAGCAGACTAACTATAAGACCTTGGAAAGGAAGATGCTTTTAAAACTCCAATGAGATTGATGAAAAGAATGATTTAAGATACCACCATGCCCTGGAAGCACTAACAAGACAAACCTCAAACTGTACATCACTTTAAAATCAACTTAAGGCGCTGGCCAAAGCCTACTGACAGTTTTTCAGGTTTCTAGATGGCAGTAAAAATGTACTTAATATGCAACTATATGACTTCAGGCCACCTGTCATAAGCCTTAAACTGTCTGATGGGAGAAACTGTCAGAAATATTTCAGGACGTACAAAAGTGGAATAAGAAGTTAAAACAAAAGGAAACGATGAATTCTTGCAAGCAAGTGTGGAACACAGGTAGGAAGCTGGTTACACCAGGCAGAATCACGGGAAAGATCCTCACAATGTTTCAAGTTGATTCCTGAACACTTTGTGCTTAGGGGATGTATAGAGTCAGCACTGCTCAAGGAGCAACGATTTCCTCAATCTCAGACACTTTTCAGCTTTCCAACAGACTTTTTAAAGGAATGGGGATCCAGACAGCAGAGCAAACTTGGGCACCCGCTCAGATCAGAGTTACAATCCAGTGTCGTTCAGAAGGCAGGGTGGTTTCTGCTGTACTGCGTCCTTTTTAGGAATCTTACTAGGTATTTTAAGTAATTCCACATTTTCCCTAAACCACTACTCTACAGATCTATGATCTCTAATCTATGAAATTCAAAACGCACTGAAACATCAAAAAATTTTCGTAACTCATTTGCTGGCAAAATCTAAAATGAACTGACACAAAGCTATATAGAATCTTTGCTTACCTCTGATTTGAATATTTAGAAATTTTTATGGATGAATATTTAGAAATCCTTTACGGCATTATGTCACACATACATGCAAACACATATTTTCCTAAAATTAACAAATATGAGTTCACAAATATATCTACCCCTGAAGATTTTAGGTAAGGCACTTCAGACTGCCTCTTAGAGGCAGTCTGCAGGGAAGATTCTAAGACACGCAATGCTGGAAAAGAGAACTTTCTGTGTAGGTTCTAAGGAAAGAATCAAGAAACGAAAGGTTCGAGAAAACAACATATTCCAGCACAGTGCTATACAGGACAGGGATGCAAAATAAACCTGTCATTGAGTGAATGATTATATGAACCAAGGAACATGGGATTATAATGTAACTCGGTCCCACAGAGTTTACTAAGAATGAGTAACTGTGTAAGAATACTGTATTTCTTAATATTTGAACACCCCAAATTCCAAGAGAATGTAATGTCCTCATTTTATGAGCTTGTACTTTTATATCTTTACCAATTCTTAATTTTTAGTGTGTAATTATGTTTTGGTTTTGAAGTACAGGCAAAATTTGTTTAAGAATTATAAATGACATGATCTTTCTACCGAACTAGTAAGTCATAAAACCAAGATTTAAAGATATTTCTAGCACACATCCCTATAATAGATGTCCTTTGATCTAGTTAAGGAATCTAATTCATAGATACTGCTGGTTGCTTAACCAACAATTAACCATTACCCTTCTAATAACTGACAGAAATCCAGTCTCATTCAGGTTGATTACAGTCCTACCTTGAAAAAGAAATAAATGCAAATCTGATTTTCCATGCTAGGAGTGACATAAGTCTGGCTAAGGAAATGTAATTATAATTCTAGTAAGTAGAGATTCTGAGAACATTCTTGTGTCCCCAAAGGATGAAAGACTCATCCTTTGCTCATCTTCCTTCTTGGATGAAACATGGATGCAAAGAAAGAGAAGCAGGAACCATAGTAAGTCCACAGGAATAGTAATTCCACGCTGAGAGTGTCAGAGGTTTAAGGTAAAAGGAGCCTGGGTCAATATGATACCGCAGAACATGTTCCAAGCCCTCAACTATAGACTACGGACCTCACTCATAAGAAACTTAACTCTGCCGAGGATTTAGCTTAATGGTGCAGCACGTGCCTGAGAAGTGTGAGGTTTTGAGTTCGAGATCTGCTCCCCCCAAAAAAGAAAGAAATTTATCTTAAAAGAAGATGCATCTAATCCAAGATGATTCAAAATTTAAAAAATATTCTCACAAGGATGCACCCCTGTGGGCAAACTCTGTCCATTCAACCAACATAATTTTCACCCTCTTCCCTATTTTTAGTTGTTCACTTAGTAAACACTTCCTACCTACTAAGCACTTCTTCCATGTTTCATTGAATTCGTCACAATTTCTTTAATTCACAAAAGTTATCTTGATTTTCTTCACAGAACTTTAAGGCAGATTTAATATAAACTTAAGCTAAAGCCTCAGAGTCTTCAATCCTATGATCTCCTTATTACAAAAAGAAAGGCTAATATAGGTATTTTTCTATTTTTACATTTTATATAAAATTTTAAAAATGTTAAATATCTGACCAACCCATTACTGATAAAGATGTCTTTTAAGATATTTGTTCACATGCTAAATACAGCTGAGTTGAGATAGTTCGCTCTACCTCTGTATCTCATTATTTCTGCATGATGGACTCCCTCCCGTGCAATCCCAGTTCAAATGCTCCTAGCACATATACGAAATTACTTTCTGCAAAAACTGCTAGGTGCCACATGAGACCGATGAGCACGACCCCATTCCACACCTTTCCAAGGTTTACAGCAGGTATCTTCAGATGAACGTACGCAAGACACAATAAAAAATATGGTCAGTGTTTAAATTTTAAAAATTCTTACAGCAAAAGACACATGGCCATTAATCTCCTCAAACGCTTCCTGCTCCTTCGAATACAGTCATCCCATTGTTCTTATCGCTTTCTCAAGCAGTTCTGAAAGTCATTTTTTGTGAGTATCTTTAGTTGCACTGTGGTGCCTGCCTTGATATTCTGAATAGATTCAAAACATCTACCTTTCAGAGTCATTTTGACTTTGAGGAACAATCAAAAAGTTACACAGTGCCAGATCCAGGGAATAAGGTGGATGAAGACGCACTAATGTTCTTAGCAGCCTCCCTTTCAGTTGGATGGCTCTGGGCAGCAGTACAGACTGTGTCTTTGATCAGACCTCACAAATACAAAAAGGAGGACTTCCAGACCTACTTCAGAGCATGGCAAGAAAGTGGATAAGGGCGTTCTAAGTGAAGGGAGAGGAGTGCTTTGAGGAAGACTAATAACAACGTCTCTTTTACTGTAGTAAATTTTAAAAATTCAAACATTCATTGTAAATTCTGACTGCACCTCATGCATGTGGTGCCTGGGCGACAACTGTACACAGACAAGCTCGGACACACATAAAAGTGATACCTAGCCCGATCTCAGCAAACGTTTCCAGAAGATGTAACACCTAAGCCAAGTCTTAAAAGAAAATCAAGAATTAATCAGGTGTATGTTTGAGGCTGTTAGACGTTTTCTTTCCAGGCATCTAGGTCAACAGGTAAAAGGAACATGCATGTTGGGGAACTCAGACATTAAGGGGCTAGAGCACATAGGTGAGTGCTATGGTTGATACATTGTGTCAACTTAGGGAGTCTGGAGGTTTGGCTAAGTGACTCAGCAGTTCTGCATCTTGGGGTGAAAAGGACATGCCCTTACCATTATGGGATGTTGTTCACTGTGTAATTTGAGAAGTTTAGGAAGTTAACTGTGTGACCCAGCAGGGAGTGTGGGTCCTTACTTTGAATTCATCCTGAGCCTGTGCAAGAGGAGGGTATCGAGGTTATGTGGGTGCTACACGCCCCTGGGTTGGGGGTAGCCTGCTTACAGTACAAGGGAGGAACAGAGGCTTGCTCTTCTCTGCTAATCCCGGCTTTTTGCTCTTGTTGCTTTTTCTGTGTTCCACCGCCACGAATGTTTGCCCTCTGCTACGTGCCACTCTGCCTTGGAGCCAGCCAAGTATGGACTGAAACCTCCACAAACTGTAAGTTCAATAAACCTTTCCTTCCTTAATTTTCAGCATCAGGTTTTTTGTCTCAGCAATGAGAGAAAAGTACAGTACAAGACAGTGAGGGTGACAGAAAATTCTAGAGACTAAAATGCAGATGCATTAGCTATGTTAGACAGTCTACAGTTTCTACGTGGGACAATAGAACAACGATGAGTTCTGAGCTAAGGAATTACAACATCATTACTATTTGAGTGAGTTTTAAGTGCCGGTTCTAAACAATGAAGGTCATCTTCAGAATCTTATTTAACCATTGAAAAATGTATGAGTCAGGGACATCAGTCACAGGGCTGTTGTCATCACACAAGGGACAAACAGCAGCAACCTCAGCGGTGTTGAAGATGCAGAAAAAGGGTTAACCTTAAGATGTGTTTGTAAAGTAGCGTGGAAAAGACTAATGTGCATTTGGATACAAGCTGCAAGTAAAAAAGAAAAAAAAGATGATCAGGATAGTTTTATACTTTGTTTTCCAAAGTAATACACTCTCGAGAGTGAGAGCAACCACTAATAAATACCAGTATATATGGTCAATGTAAAGACAAAGAGCTTGGGAACCCCAGAACAGGTTCAGGTGGGGAGAAGGAGTTCCACTGAACCATGACGAGATGTATTGCTCCTGAGTCACCCCAACAGAGACATTTAACTGGTGTAAGGGTCTGTGGATCTAGAATTCCGGAGACAATTCTCACCAGAGATAGGGATTTGAGGAGTTAGCATCACACTGATAGTAAATGAAGACCATAAGTAGGATGTATCCCTCTTACCAGAAGCTTCCATCTGTTCAAACTATCTGAGACAAAACAATTACTGAGGCTCTCCTACAGGTTCCTACCTAGCCACCACTTTCAGATGTTAATACAATCTAAGCTAATAAGACCATGGGCAGTGTGCACAAACTGCCTTTACATTTTAAAAGTTCTTAAAATCCATGTAATGCTTTTGTTTTCACTATGTTAAATTAGTTCCAATGCCCTTTTAATTGCTCATTTCTGAATTCTTAACTTTGATGCATCCAACAGTCCAGAGCTGACATTATCAAGCATTTTTTAAAAAAAGTGCTGCTCTGGGATAGTCATTGTAACTACTGGTGTCCAATAATTTTCTCCTTCATAAATACCAACAAAAGGAGTTATACAACTGTTTTTGTTGTTGTTGTTTAAATTTTTGCTTATTGGTTGTTTTCTTGTTTGGTTTGCTTATTTGATGTGTGTGTGTGTGTGTGTGTGTGTGTATGTGAGTGTATATGTGTGTATTCTGCTTTCACTTCCATAATATTTTATGTTGTTTTGTCAAATTTTCCCACATTGATGGTTGCTTCATAGGGATAGCTAACTTTGTTTTATTATTAGATCTATAATTGAATTCAATCTCCCTGTCTTCCCTCATTTCTCTTTTACAGTGCATTCTTTTCTGTTCTTTATTTACTTCTTCACATCTTCTCTCTGTTCTTTAATTTTTAAACCTATATTATTAGCCTTAATCTGATTATCATTAAGTTCCTTATAGTCTATTGTATATTATTACTCTATCTTTTCCTGGGTCATGAAAGAGTAGAGATCTTTTAAAAGAAGTTGTTAACTAGATGATAATATATGTTTTGCTTCTCAATTGCTGTTATGGTCATTACTGTTTTTTCTCTAAGCAGTGGTAGGAACTGAATCTAGCATTAGGACTAGATGATGTGGGAACTTTCACAAAGAGACACACCCACACCACACAGGGCACCCTACAACCAGAATAAGACCCTAAACAGACCCTCTTAAAGCACAGTGGTAGAAATGGTTATCACCACTAACCTGCAAACCTCAGTGCAAAAACAGAAAGCAACTACATACCTCCCAAAATTTCTAACTCCCCAAAAGCTGATCCTACACATACCAAAGTGGGTGAAATTCCAGACAAAAGAATAAAAAAATTGTTCAAATGATCAGTGAAAGCAAAAAAGCGACACATAAGCAGCTGAATGAATGAAGACAGATAATGCAGGATGTGAAGGAACACTTCAGCAAAAAGGTACAGGTTCTAAAAAAGAACCAAGCAGAAATCATGAAAATGAAACCTCAATTAGTAAAATTTAAAAAACTCAAAAGTCCAGGCAGTACACAGATGAATCAGAAAGAACACCAGGACTTGAAGACAACGTGAGTGTACTACAGTTCAGACAACAATAAAGAGAAGAAGAAACAGCGAATATTCAAAACTTCTTGGTAATTCTCAAAGAACAAATTTAAGATGAACTGGCTTCAAAGATGGTAAGGAAATACGGGCAAGTGGTATAGACTATCTATTAATTGAAATTACTGCTGCAAATTTCCAAACCCTGGGGAAT